TTTTTGTAGTGTTCTTTGCATTTTTCAGTTTATTTTATTGTCTTAAAAAAACTGAACCAACTCTGAAAATGTTTGCAAGTTCTAAGTTTCAAAGTCATGTTTACATGAAATTCCATAATTCACATTCATACAACATTTTTATGGCTTGCTAAGGATTTTTTAATGTGTTTTACAAATGAGTTTATGATGCACACTTAAACACAACTTCTTAAATTATGTATTTACAGTATTTCTGTCATGTAAGCTTAGTGCATTTTATTTACACATTCAGCTTCTTGTCAAAGAAAGCTAACACTTTGAATAATAGGGATTGATTTTCTGTCTTTAATTTAGAGGACAACAAATCTGTTTGAGCCAGAACCGCTACCCAAAAACATGAAAAACAACACAAGTAAATCACAGTCAAACGTATCAGTAAATAAAAATGCTTACATCTGTGATAGTAAAATTAACTACAAAACAGTTAAAACAAAAAACATAAGACCAGCTAAACGTAACTGACATGATAAAAAAATACAGCAAAAAAAAAACAACAACAACAACACATATTAGAGAACTAAGAATATGCCCAGTGTGAGTAATACGAGTTGTTTCTTTTAATAACTTGTGAAGTTTCTTTAAAAACAGCARTCAATTCTTTTAAAGTAACCAATAAGACAGCGTTAGCAAAGAAGCTATTTTTACTCAGTTTAAAAATATTAGAGAGAGAAGACAACTTTGGRTATATYACAGGCAATTTGAATGAATTATAAAGCAAATAGCAAGCAATATTTTCAAAAAAGATAACTTAAAACTGCACACTCAGTTATTTCTAACAGTTACTTTATTATTCCAGACAGTTTACAATAACAGTGTGATTTGTGCACAAATTAATATATGAGTATCTGTAAAAAAAAAGTATGGCATTTCAAATTTGGAGGGAAACTTGATGCACAAGTTTGAGCAAAATAAACATCAGACGACAGATAAAGCGTAAGGTTACAAAGACTTTTGATAGGCTTTTGTGACCCAAATTTTGAACTCATCAGTAAATACTTAAATGTCAAACTGCCATTCAAAACAGTGACCTGATGTGAATAAACACATTGCTTGTGCCAGCCCTCTAGCTAAAATTTAGGAGGCGCAAATCATTCACTCGGCTGAAGTGAAAAAACACATTTATTTTCCCTTGTGTTTGAATAGCTGGTAATTATTTTGCCTCAGAGGAGGGGTTTGTCAAACATCAGGCCTGGTAGGACATAAATGCAGCAGCTCACATAAAAAACATTTGAAGACGGACAAGGCCGGACAGCTGTGAGATTATGGCGATGAACTGGACTGTCACCTATTTTACAATACTGGCTCTACTATACTGCCTCACTGGAAGAGAATCAGAGGCTCAAACCCAGTCTAAGACTAACTACCCTTGGCCTCCAGTATATCATCAGAACTATCAAAACCCTCAGGAGCCTCAGGATGTTTCAAAGACTCAGGACTCTCAGCATCAATCACCTTCGGACTACGACTGCCCTCATTCTCAAAAAAATACACAGAACCGTCTGATCCCCCAGATGCCATCAAAGCTTCAGTATCCTAAGGTTCCTCAGTACCCTCAGCCTCCTCAGACACAGACGCAGCCTCAGTACCCCACACCTTCCCAGTCCTCTCAACCACCCTTGAATCCTCAACTTCCTCAGACACCATCAAAGCCTCAATACCCTCAATCACCTCAGACGCCATCAAAGCCTCAGTACCCTCAGCCTCCTCAGACACAGACGCAGCCTCAGTACCCCACACCTTCCCAGTCCTCTCAACCACCCTTGAATCCTCAACTTCCTCAGACACCATCAAAGCCTCAATACCCTCAATCTCCTCAGACGCCATCAAAGCCTCAGTACCCTCAGCCTCCTCAGTACCCCCAACTGCCTCAATACCCTCAATCCCCTCAGACACCATCAAAGCCTCAATACCCTGAATCTCCTCCGACTCCATCAAATCCTCAGTACACCCAGCCTCTTCAGTATTCTCAACCTCCACAAATGCCCTCAAAGCTTCAGTACCCTCAGCCTCCTCAGTACCCTGAAACTCCTCAGACACCATCAAACCCTCAGTACCCTCAACCACCTCAGTACCCTCAAATCCCATCAAAGCCTCAGCCACCTCAGTATCCCCAGCCTCCTCCAAGTCCTCAAATACCTTCAAAACCTCAGTACCCCGAAGTTCCTCAGAACCCTCAAATACCGTCAAAGCCTCAGCCTCCTCAAAACCCTSAGTATCCTCAAACTCCTCAGTACCCTCAGAATCCATCAAAGCCTCAGCCACCTCAGTATCCTCAGCCTCCTCCGAGTCCTCAAACACCTTCAAAACCTCAATATCCTGAAGTTCCTCAGAACCCTCAGATACCGTCAAAACCTCAGCCTCCTCAAAACCCTCAGWATCCTCAGATTCCATCAAAGCCTCAGCCTCCTCAAAATCCTCAGTATCCTCAACCTCCTCAGTACCATCAGATCCCATCAAAGCCTCAGACTCCTCAGTACACACAGCCTCCTCCAAGTCCTCAAATTCCTTCAAAACCCCAATACCCCCAAGTTCCTCAGTACCCTCAGATRCCATCAAAGCCTCAGCCTCCTCAAAATCCTCAGTATGATCAACCTCTTCAGTACCCTCAGATACCATCAAAGCCGCAACCTCCTCAGTACCCTCAGATACCATCAAAGCCTCAGCCACCTCAGTATCCTCAGCCTCCTCCAAGTCCTCAAATACCTTCAAAACCTCAATACCCTGAAGTTCCTCAGAACCCTCAGATACCGTCAAAGCCTCAGCCTCCTCAAAACCCTCAGTATCCTCAACCTCCTCAGTACCCTCAGATTCCACCGAAGCCTCAGCCTCCTCAAAATCCTCAGTATCCTCAGATCCCAAAGCCTCAGCCTCCTCAGTACCCACAGCCTCCTCCGAGTCCTCAAACTCCTTCAAAAACTCAATACCCCATATTTCCTCAGAACCCTCAGATCCCATCAAAGCCTCAACCTCCTCAAAACCCTCAGTATCCTCAATTTCCTCAGTACCCTCAGATCCCATCAAAGCCTCAGCCACCTCAGTATCCCCAGCCTCCTCCGAGTCCTCAAACACCTTCAAAACCTCAATACCCAGAAGTTCCTCAGAACCCTCAGATACCATCAAAGCCTCAGTATCCTCAGCCACCTCAGTACCCTCAGATACCYTCAAAGCCTCAGCCTCCTCAAAACCCTCAGTATCCTCAACCTCCTCAGTACCCTCAAATTCCATCGAAGATTCAGCCTCCTCAAAATCCTCAGTATCCTCAGATTCCATCAAAGCCTCAGCCTCCTCAGTATCCACAGCCTCCTCCAAGTCCTCAAACTCCTTCAAAACCTCAATACCCCGTATTGCCTCAGAACCCTCAGATCCCATCAAAGCCTCAACCTCCTCAAAACCCTCAGTATCCTCAACTTCCTCAGTACCCTCAGATTCCATCAAAGTCTCAGCCTCCTCTGTATCCTCAGCTACCTCAGTACCCTCAGATCCCATCAAAGCCTCAGCCACCCCAGTATACCCAGCCTCCTCCGAGTCCTCAAACACCTTCAAAACCTCAATACCCTGAAATCCCCCAGAACCCTCAGATACCATCACAGCCTCAGCCTCCTCAGTACCCTCAGATCCCATCAAAGCCTCAGCCACCCCAGTATCCCCAGCCTCCTCCGAGTCCTCAAACACCTTCAAAACCTCAATACCCTGAAATCCCTCAGAACCCTCAGATACCATCACAGCCTCAGCCTCCTCAGTACCCTCAGATCCCATCAAAGCCTCAGCCTCAGTACCCT